ATATATATATGGGGTTTTTTTTGAGATGGATTTTCGCTCTTGTTGCCCTGGCTGGAGTGCAATGGCGTGATCTCGGCTCACAGCAACCTCCGCCTCCCGAGTTCAAGCCATTCTCCTGCCTCAGCCTCTGGAGCAGCTGGGATTACAGGCATGAGCCACCATGCCTGGCTAATTTTGTATTTTTAGTAGAGACAGGGTTTCTCCATGTTGGTCAGGCTGGTCTCAAACTCCCAACCTCAGGTGATCCACCCACCTCAGCCTCCCAAAGTGCTGGGATTACAAGCGTGAGCCACTGTGCCCAGCCTACAAAAATATTTTTTAACTTAGTCAGGTGCGGTGTAGTCCTAGCTACCCAGGAGGCTGAGGCAGGAGGATTACTTGAGCCCAGGATGTCAAGGCTCCAGTGAATAATGAATGTACCACTGTATTCCAGCCTGGGCAAGAAAGCAAGACTTTATCTCAAACATAAATAAATAAATAAAGTTTACTTTTAAAGTAAATCCTAACAGTTTACCATGAGTTCAAGAGCAAAGTCTGTAGGCAATGCATTTATTTTGTTTAAGTTATAGTCAGTTGTACATATTAGGCACTCAAAAAATATTTATGGACAAATGGAATAGCTGTTGAATGGACAAATAAACATAGACATTAACTAGAGTAACAATCAGTTTTAAAAGTATAAAGAGGGCCGGGTGTGGTGGCTCACACATGTAATCCTAGCACTTTGAGAGGCTGAGGTGGGTGGATCACTTGAGGTTAGCAGTTCAAGACCAGCCTGGCCAACATGGTGAAACCCCATCTCGGGTGAAAAATACAAAAATTAGCTGAGTCTGGTGGTGCACGTCTGTAGTCCCAGCTACTTGGGAGGCTGAGGCAGGAGAATTGCTTGAATCCAGAAGGCGGAGGTTGCAGTGAGCTGAGATCATGCCGCTGCACTCCAGCCTGGGCAACAGAGCAAGACTCCATCTTGGGGGGAAAAAAAAAGTATAAAGAGATTTCTAGAGTGTGCAGGAAGCTGAAGTGGCTGGCTCTAGAGATGACAGAATTAGCTGTAAGAAATCAGAGCACAAATCTGGGCAAGAGGAACCACCCTAGCTTGGTTACTAGAGGGAGAAGAGGCTTGCCACCAGGAGGAGTAAGTACAATAAGGAAACAGACAGAGAACAGTTCCTAGAGATTTATTATAATCTGTTTCTTCTTTGGCTTTTTGCTTTCCCCATATGCACACATAATAGAGATTTCTATAATCTCCATTCTTCTTCGGCTTTTGTTTTGCCACATACACACACATACTCAAATAATCAAGTGGCCTAAACACAGAGATTATAAACCAATCAGTAAGAAATCCGAGGCCCTACCAGTCTACCCCTCCCTGACCCTGCATCTGATGTGAGGCCATAGTCAAGTGCCTAGAAGGAAGACAAGCTTGAAGGACGACCCTTAATAAAGAGCTTCTAGGAAAGTTCAGAGGTGTCAGAGGAACTTGGTGCACAGCCAAAGCGCTGACAAAGGCCTAGGCGCTAGCTTTCCAGAACAACTGGAAAATAGCCACAGCCGCCTTCCCAGCTTTGCTGTAGTAGAAAGTTAATTACTTGTTGCGTCCACACTGTCAGAATCATCCTAGAGGAAAAAAAAAAAAAAAAGACAAAGCACCTGTAGACCCTGCAAAGCAGGAACATTTGTGTTAACAAATAAACTGCTCCGTCCCTCCTGCTCTCCAAGTTTCTTTTTGTGATTTCCTAAACCACCCAACCTAGGAGGCTAATATGAAGGTTTTAACTTACTTTGGATATTAAGTAAACCAATGCTACTTTGTCTTACATCAACAGTTTCCAGATTTTTTTTTTTTTTTTTTTTTGAGACAGGGTCTTGCTTCATCACCCAGGCTGCAGTGCAGTGGCGTGATCTCAGCTCACTGCAACCTCTACCCCACAGTCTCAAGTGATTCTCCCACCTCAGCCTCTTGAATAGCTGGGGTTATACGCTACCATGCCTGGCTAATTTTTGTATTTTTGGTAGAGACAGGGTTTTGCCCGATTGCCCAGGCTGGTCTCAAACTGCTGAGCACAATCAATCCACCTGCCTTGGCCTCCCAAAGTGCTGGGATTACAGGCGTGAGCCACCACACCCACCCTAGTTTCAGAATTTTAATTAATGCTATTGCTCCTTACAGCTGTAAAGATGCTCGGCAGGGCCAGGTCTTCTCTAGGATGGAGAAACAGAGGGGGAGATGGAAAGCAGGAGGGTCTTGCTAGAGTTTTCTAAAGTCTGGAGAAGAATATTAGCCTTCTTGGGCTAGGCACGGTGGCTCACACCGGTAATCCCAGCACTTTGGGAGGCCAAGGAGGGTGGATCACCTGAGGTCAGGAGTTCAAGACCAGTCTGGCCAACATGGCAAAACCCTGTCTCTACTAAAAATACAAAAATTAGCCAGGCGTGGTGGCGGGTGCCTATATTCCCAGCTACTCAGGAGTCTGAGGCAGGAGAATCGCTTGAACCCAAGAGGCAGAGGTTGCAGTGAACTGAGATCAGGCCACTGCACTTCAGCCTGGGCAACAGAGCGAAACTCCTCCCCCATGCCCCCCAAAAGAATATTAGCCCTCTTGGGTCAAATTCAAATTTGGTTAACAGGCACTGAGAACTACTGTGTGCTAGGAACTGGGATAGGAGCTCTCTGGTGGGTTAATTTTAAGGGCTACAAAGAAACTGAAGGGTTGAGGGGAAGGCTTTACTTACGTCCAAATCATCCATGGCAGGTGGAGGTCTCTTGGTGCTGACCTTCTGCAAAAGCTAGTGGGAAAAAAAAATAACCATAAGGGAGAAGGGAGTGAGGGAAGAACAATCTGCACACTGATGGGCCATAGAAGCATGGCTGCAGCCAGACCGGTCAGGCAACTGCTCCCATCTTTAAAACATCACTGGAATGAATTTGAGAAAAGTAAATTGATCCCCTTCTTAAAAAAATTTAAACACGGCCGGGCGCGGTGGCTCAAGCCTGTAATCCCAGCACTTTGGGAGGCTGAGACGGGCGGATCACGAGGTCAGGAGATCGAGACCATCCTGGCTAACACGGTGAAACCCCGTCTCTACTAAAAAGATACAAAAAATTAGCCAGGCGAG